CCAGCACACATCAGAGCTGTGGGAAAGGGGACCCGGGAGAGTGCGGATGGGGACACGCGCTCAGCAGTCATACATCAAGGAGTCTGGGAGGCCAAGGCTCCCGTGGAGGAAACCTTCACGTTTGGGGTGGAGCTGGGTCCCACTCACATCCTCCTAAGTAAAAGTTATTCCCCATGAAGTCCCCCATAATCCAAATTTAAGGTGCTGTTTGCAAACACATGGTCACTGACTATACACTTGGAGGTCAACTACTTGAAGATTATCTGCCTGAAGGTTGTCAGCCATCTAAGGCAATCAGACCCTATGTCTGTCCCACCCTAAGTAGGACCCAGTTCCTTCTGATAAGGACAATGGATTGTTCCCCTGGAGGAGAGCGCAGACATCTAAGGTGGAGCCAACTCAGAGACGACCAAGGTTAGGCTGCTATCTTGACTCTAGAGCCTGCCCGTCTTGTTACCTAGATGCCTTCCTGTCACATGTGCCCCTATTGCGTGTACACCCCAAGTTCATCCCCCTCTTGTTATGTGTATGCCTCTTGTACAACCCCTTCTGTTACGTATGTGATTACTGTGGCCTGCATGCCTGAGATTATATTAACTCATGAGATTACATGACTCCCCCTCTCTCTGCTCCGACCTGGCTCCTGAACTCATGACTGAGGTGAGCCCTTGCATGCTTTATCCTGTCTGATGTCTCTTTAATTTACCCCTCAATTACACAACTGCCCCTTGGACCCATTTGGTTGTGGGGAGGCTGGTCCCCCACACAGAGCCCTTTCCAGCCCTTGGATGTGGCTGAGGTAACACTGTGCGGCTACCGCAGGAGGAATGTTTGGCTGGAGTTCAAGTAAGTAAATGCTCAGTTTGTCAGTGCGATTTTGTTTCCAGAGGGTTCCAACATCCCTCTGCAGTCCCATAACGGTTGGGGCTGAGACCACGGAAACTGGGTCATGAGGACCTCCTGGGTGTGACTTTTCAGCACAGCTAAGACTTTCAGAACCAACCCCTGGGGCCTTTACTAACTCTGTGGCTTTGGGCAACCTACCCTTTTAGCCTGTTTCTCAGCTAAAGAAGCAATAGTGCACCCTCTCTTGAAGGAAACCGTCCAGAAGATTGGAATAGAAAGGGATTCTTCAACATGCTTTAGGGCATGAAGGAAAACCCTACAGCCAATGCTGCCTATAACAGAGAAAACAGCCAATGGCAGATGTGACAGAAATCAGACAGCCAATGGCAGATGTGACAGAGAAAGCAGACAGCCAATGGCATTTGTGACAGAGGAAACAGACAGCCAATGGCAGATGTGACGGAGAAAGCAGACAGCCAATGGCATTTGTGACAGAGGAAACAGACAGCCAATGGCAGATGTGACAGAGGAAACAGACAGCCAATGGCAGATGTGACAGAGGAAACAGACAGCCAATGGCATGTGATGGAGGAAACAGACAGCCAATGGCTGATGTGATGGAGATGGAGTGCTCTTCCTTGAAAGCAGGAACGAGGATGCCTGCTCTCGCCACATCTGCTCCATATCGTGTGAGAAGTCTTACCAAGAAAAAGAAATAAGAGGTATCAGAAAAGAAGTGAGCAGTTCCCTAAAGATGGAGACAATGTTCCCTTTCACAGAAGGTTCCGTCGCAGGGGTGGGGTGGCGGGGTGTTGCTGTCCAGCCCCTGAATGTGTTGTTGGACAACTCTTCTCCACATGGAGGCCTGGTGT